CGGAGGATCCAGGCCTCCGGGGCCGGCCTGGACTGGGGGGGTGGGGGGAACCGGCGACGGAGGCTCCAGGCCTCCGGCGCCGGCCTGGACTGGGGGCGGGGGGTGGGGGGAACCGGCGACGGAGGCTCCCCTCCAGGAGGGGAGGGAGGCGGCGGACGGGCCGTGCAGGGCCCGTTCGCCAGGCAGGATGGGTGCTGGAGGTAGGGAAGCCGGCGGACGGAGCCTATCGGCTCCGTTCGCCGCTGGGCTGAAAGCGGCCCTTAGTCTATGTGGGGAAGATGGCCGCTCAGAAGACGCTGGCTCCGATGACTGGCTCCCTCCCCTCCCAGCCACCCAGCCAATGGCAGGGCAGGTTGGCTGAGGGAGCCAGTCATTGGAGGCAGCTCTTCTGAGTGGCATATTTTCCGCCCATACACTAACGGGGCGCATTTTAGAATTCTGGCACCCAAAACTCCTTTATAATAAAGGAGAGATGTGGAAGGATAGCTCCTCTCCTCCACAAAAGCCTTTGCCCCCTCCCTTTTAAAAAGGCTTTTTCTGAAAGCAGTATTTTCTAGCTCCAGTTGGTGTGGTGGTTAGGAGTGCAGACTTGAATCTGGGAGAACTGGGTTTGATTCCCCACTCCTCCACATGCCACTGCTGGTGTGACCTTGGGTCAGTCACAAGTTCTTTCAGAGCATTTCTCTCAAGGACAGTTCTGAAGAGAGCTCTCTCAGCCCCACCTATCTCACAGGGTGTCTGTTGTGGGGAGGGGAAGGGTATAAATCCAATCTGTTCTTTCTTCTTCTTCCCCAGCACTGAGATTCACATCTCACCTTTCATACAAAACTGAACACTGGCATAGCTACACACAGGTGGTTTCTACATGGGGTTCCCCAATAGCTGATGTGGCTGCTGATAAAGCTCAAGAGCCATGAGGCTTCCACACAGCAGGTTTTCACACAGTTCCCCTGTTCAGCAGAGACCACCTTCACCTCCCCTGGGCTACCAGGGCTTTTGTGAGAAACAACTAGAAGCACTGGAATGTCATGATATCCATATGTTATATCACCCCAAACTGGTGGAACTTGCTCCCACCTGAGATCAGGGCCTTGAGGGACCTAATACAGTCTCGCAGGGCCTGTAAAGCACAGCTGTTCCGTCAGGCTTTCGGCTGAGGTGGCGGACGGTCAACCATTCTGGCCTCCTCTGTTCATGGCCCCTTCCCAGTGCTCTGCTGCTGTAGATAGCATTACTTGGGCACTGGAGCTGACATGAGGCATGGGTTCTCTTTCGTTATTGCTTATTGTATCATCTGTTGTTTTATTGTTTTATGGGTGGTGTTGGGGGTCAAATAAGCCAATACTCTCCTTGCAGCGACTGTTTACCTTCGAGGGCACTAGAACATGATGTGTAGGTTTCACAGCTTGTTTTCGGCCCTAAGGCAAAAGAAGTTTGGAACCAAAATATATATTTCTGGGAAATAACAATATTGAAATCAGTCTACTGAAAAAAAGGTTTTTATAAGATCAAGTAGTGAATAGGAAAAATCTTCTTCACCAGACTAGAAATTCATCATGGCAGGATCTACATGTTATTGGATATTATGCAACTACAAATTACTTAGCCCTGACCTAAACACCCCAGGCTAGCCTGATCTTGTTAAATCTCAGAAGCTAAGCAGGGGTGGCTTTGGTTAATATTTGGATGGGAGACCACCACAGAATACCAAGGTCACGATGCAGAGGCAGGCAACAGCAAACCACTTGTGATCTTTTTCCTTGAAAACCCTCTGGGGTTGCCCTAAGTCTGCTGCGACTTGACAGCAAAACAAGAAAACAAAACATCTCATTTATCTCCCAGATTCTCCTATCTTGACATTAAAATCCTGGGAGTGAACAACTGTTAAATACCCAACTGTGGCTGCAGTCACACGGAGCATTAGCCATGCTGCAGAGACGGAAGATAGGCGGATTTTCCGGGCATGATCACACCGCCACATCTGGGAAGCGTAGAGCTCCCGCGGCGAACCCGAGGCTTCCCGCCAAAGATGCGGGGTAAAAAACTAGTACCTCCGAGGTACTAGTTTCCGGAAACCGCGGGGCAAAGGCAGGCGTCTGATCGCATTTCTGGTGGTAGTTCTGGCGCCCGCCCATGTCCCCTCGCAAAAAGGTTTCCCCCCCCAAGTCTCCACGGATGCGCACAAGCACCCAACAGAGCATGTGCACACTTAAGTTTTTTTTTAAAACCACAACCCCATTTGCCCCGCGCCCCGCTTCTTTGCCACGCCGCAGGATTGTCCTGTGATCGGCACCTCCCCCTAACCTCGGGACCACCACGGGACCTCCACGGGACCTCCACGGGAGGTCTGATTGCGCAACCGCACATTATTTTGCCCCGGGGCAAACAGCCACGCTTCCCCCCCACATTTTCCTGCCTGTGTGACCGCAGCCAAAGTGTATTATATCTAGTATGCAATATGCAATACCCATATTTCCATTCAATCACGTAATAACCAATGATCTGTGCATCCAGCATATGTCAAGCATTCATTCATGTCAATTTTTAAAGAGGATTAGAAATGTTTCTTCCACCTCAGGTTACAGGAAATTGCTGATTGCCAATGGACAGGCCTTCTGTAAGAGTAAATGTCTTTTCTGTAAACACAGGAAAAAATCAAGGCCCACGTGAAGTCACTGGAGAAAGACAGAGGAAATTTTGTGGATCAGCAAGTGGCTGAAGATCTGGAAAGCCAGGAACATCTGGTAGGAATATCTATTCATGGCTATTGGATTGGGAATGGTTGTTTAACTGGCAGGCGCCATGTGTCCTTCATTGCTGAGGAAAACAGCCATTTTTGCAAATGATGTTTGTGTTCTTCTGTGTTGACTAGGAGCTGGTTCGCACAGACAAATTCACCATGTAGTCACTGATGCATCAAGTGGTAACTTGTGTGTGTCAATGAAGCCATTACAGACTGAGTGGCATCCCTCATACAGATCAAACACCACAGAACTTCTGTGTTGCCTCAGATAAAATGCTTTTTAATGGAGTGCTTTCATTCACAGATCCAGCAGCAAGTTAGCATGTGCTGACTAACTACAATGAGAAGATAAATTATACACGATAGTCTGAATTCCTTAAGTGTGTATCCCGAAAAAAACCTCTCTATGGAACTATTTAACTTCAGAAGTAGGGTTGCCAGGTCTGGGTTGGAAAATGCCTGGAGACTTTGGGGGTGGAGCCAGGAGAGGGTGGGGTTTGGGGAGGGGAGGGGCCTCAGCATGGTACAATGCCACCATGAGTTCCCCGTTCAAAGCAGCCATTTTCTCCAGGGGAGCTGATCTCTGTCAGCTGGAGATCAGTTTCAGAAGAGGGAGATCCCCAGGCCCCACCTGGAGGCTGGAAATCCTATCCAGAAATTCCACAAAGTATTCAGAAAATCAGGATACAAAATCTAAAAAAAGAGATGATGGTCCTGATACCCAAATACTAACCCTTGTAAAATATGTATTTATTTAAATAAAATTAATTTTAAGGGTTAACTTATTTAAATAGTTTCATTTACTGATTTAAATATTTTACCCCACTTTTCCTGCACTGAGGACTCAAAGTAACTTGCAAAATGAAATGCACATTAAACAGGTTTGGAATAAAAGGTGTAACAGTTTATTCTTGGGAGTTGTGGGAATTCCAGTTCTCTATGGATTTTTTCCACTTCAAAGGGAGGAAAGATAGCAATTGACAATTTGCCTGGGAATGTACATGTGTATCTATCCCCCCCTTCTTCCAAACAAATAGTAGTGTTTCAGGTAATTGATTTTTCTACAGTCCAGATTAGGGTTGCCAAGTCACTCACGTTGCGCAGTTGGGGGAGAATTGGTCCCGACCTGAGACATTCACACATGCAGCGTGATGACGTCACCCGGAAGTGACGTCATCACATTGGGCACGTCGCCGGCCAACGCTCTAGCAATCAGCCTGGAAACTCTATGGTACCATCGCGCTGGGCACATCGGCCCAAAATGGGCACTTTGGGGGCGGGGTTCCCTCTGCTGGCCTGATCCGGACCGGCGGGTTGGGGCCCTTTGGGCAGGCAAACCCCCCCCCCCCCGGGGGGACTTGGCAGCCCTAGTCCAAATACATAACAAGATCTGCAGAATGTGTAACGATGACATAAACACATCCATCTCTTGGGCTGATTTTTTCCCCCCTCAGGAATCCTATCCTACAATATGTTTATTATTATTTTAGAACTGCAGACCCCATCAAAGAGAAACTGTCACCCTCCTTGAGATAACGCTTTCCCACTTAGTTATTTTCAACCCAATCATCCAATAAGGTTTAAACCTTTTTGCTCCAATCCAATCCCAGATGGAGGAGCACCTTATTTCCCCCACTATCTACACCTTTTGTGTATAAAGATAGCCTCAAAGACCCTGAACACTAAATTCCGACTTGCTGCAGCATGCCAGGCAAACAGCTAATGGTTTTCCCAGCAATTATTGCTCCTGTGACTCAATGCGAGAGACAGGGATAATTTCCTGCGGGAGTGCACAGGAGCGGATCTCCGGCAGTAAAGAGCCCAGGGGGCAGGCACATGCAACAAGCCCCACCCCCTGCTCCCAGCAGCCCTCAGTCGGGCCACGAGGAGCAAGAAGTAGCCAAGTAAGTTGCAGAGGCCCCCCAGCCCGCCTTCAGGTAGAATCACTTCCTTCTCTGTGAGGGCAGATCTGCACGTTCCCCCCTCCCAATAGCTAGCAATCCAAAACAGTCCAGTGGCACCTTTAAGATCAAGTTTTATTCAGGTACAGACTCTCCCTCCTCTGCGAGGACAGATCTGCACATTCCCCCCCCCCAATAGCTAGCAATCCAAAACAGTCCAGTGGAGCCTGAGCGGTGGGTGTTGCCTTCTGACACACTTCCGGTGATGTCAGGGGGTGTGGCACATGCAAATAAGTTATGCTAATGAGCTCCTGCACCTCTTTTTCTATGAAATGACCCCTGGCAAGGGACAGCAAGGTACTTCCCATCCTATTCCTACAATCACTTCCACCTTTTCCAGCAAGCCCTTCTGGACTTTATCATCTGGACAGACTGGTATGTTTCACCTTACCTCACTTCCTTCACTAGACTATTAGATTTGTGTGATTCACTGCCAGAGGATGTAGTGATGGCTGCAGGAATAAACAGCTTTAAAGGGGGGTTAGATGGATTAATGCAGGCATGTCCAACTTCGAACAGGTAGTGATCTATTTTTTCCGGCCAAAAGTGCCGGCGATCTACCACCATGGAAATAAAGTTTCAAATTAGTTTCAAATTAGATTTTAGCCCACTAAAGTTGCCCCCCCCCAATTTATAATGCACCTTCTGTCATTTACTGGTAAGGGGCTGGTGATCTACCTCTGACCCCTTCGCGATCTACTATTTTTCTTAATAAATGTTTAGCTTTCAAACCTATGCCTGTTTGTTTCGGGGGACCTCCTGCCTCTCTTATGCAGTGCTGTCAAAATCCAGTATCCTAGCAGAAGCTCCCAATAAGACTTCCTATAAGAAGAGCCCTGCATCGGACCAGTGGTCCATCTTGTTCAGCATCCTGTCTTGCACAGTGGGCAACCAGTTCCTCTGAAGAGCCAACAACAGGGCATAGAGGCCAAGACCTTCCCCTGATGTTGCCTGTTAGCTCTGTGATTCAGCGATTTAGTGCCTCTGAATGTGGAGGTTCCCTTCAGTCACCATGGGCCTTTCTGCATTCAATATTTACTCCCAATTTTCCCAGAACTCAAGGTGGTATGCCTTTGATTTGAATCATTTCCTTTCATTCTGCATATACAATTATTCTTCGGCACTTCATGGCAGAAACTCAAGTTTCTGTGGATTATGCTTTCTGCATACTCATGGAAGAAAGTGTGTTTTGAGCCCCGACTGCTTGTATCCTTTGGAGAAGGAGTAGCCAAGGCGCCAGCATGATACTTCTCCCTTCCCTTCAATGCCCCATGTTCTCTCTTCCTTTTCACAGAGCCCTGACTGGTGGGAGGAATTCTTCTAGGAAAATCAGAATGACATTGAGTGCATGAGGCATTTCAGTGTTAACAAAGCAATGTTTGCTAACGTTATGTAACAGGAATAACTCAGGGATAATATACAATTATCAATGCTTAGTATCAAATCAAAATGCAAACCATCAATCCATGCATCTGTTTTTCTTTTGAGGGAAATGTTTGTGATTGAAGTCTGTTTGGCTTAGAAGTGCTTTTTGAAAAACTGGTTTTTCCAGTAGCTCTCCCATCCTCCCTACCGCTGTGGACTGTAAACAAATGTAAATGCTCAGCAATTGCCCATGAGGAAACCCGTTATCATGTAAACTGGCTGCCTAACACAGACCAAAGAGAAAGAGGCTGAAACAGGGGAAGGCAGTAGGCGCTGCTGAAATATTCACAGAAACAATTCTACTTTAAATAGTTGTATCAATTTCAAAATGGAGCAGAACAAAGGTTCGCGGCAATAGCCCTTTTGGGAAGTGCGGGGCAACAGTGTGCTGGAAGTGGTCAGAGTGCTGATCCCCCTAAAATAAATGCAGAACCAAGAAGAAGCCCCGACACAAAGCGGCAGTGAAAGCGGGAGGGAATGCAGAACAGAATATTGAGATGCACTCAGAAATCAAGGAAAACGACAGGTGCAGAAAGGGCCCATGCCTAGTAGCCAGTGATGGACCTATCCTCCATGAATCTATCTAATCCCCCTTTTAAAGCTGTTTATTCATGCGGCCATCACTACATACTCTGGCAGAAAATCCTACATTTTAACTCCACTCTCTGTGTAAAGATATATTTCCTTTTGTCCGAGTTGCCCATAGTTCAGGAACACACACATGTAGGCCATTCACGTAACAATGATCCTCGTATTCCACTTCTGTCCCTTCTTCAGAAACGGTTGACAGGGGAGAAGCAGAAAATCAGGTCTGCCTTTCAGCAAATGCACAAAACTCTCGAGAAAGATGAGCACTTCTGGCTGGCCCAGCTGGATGAATTGGAAATGAAGCTCCTGAAGAAGCAGGAAGAGAATTTTGCCAAACTTTCACAGGAGATCTCTATGCTCAGTAATTTGATCACAGAGATAGAGGGGACATGCCAGCAGCCAGCCAGTGAATTTCTGCAGGTGAGATTTCAGATTCAGAACAGATCAAGGTTTCACCTGATGGTGAAAGGGAAACAATCTCATCTAAAACAACAAGCAGCTCGGTGCAGAATGCTATCTTTGTAACAATGACCAATTTCTTTCTGTGTGTTTTTTTTAGGATGCCAAAAATATATTGAAGAGGTATGTGGCTCTTTCTCTCTTCCGTTCCTTTTTCGTCTCCTTTTGGAGAGGTTTAAAAAAATACATAAACATTTCTACAAAATAGGGTCACAAACTCATCAGAATCAGTGTTCAGAGACAGTTTCCTTTGGTGAAAACAGTACCTGAATTGGAAATCCTTGTGGCAACCACCACATCCTTATGATCTGTCATCCTACAGATCCTGGAGAAGGAATAAGCATCTGAGGAAATCACTCACAAAAGCTTGTGCTGGAATACACTTTGCTAGTCTTTAAGGTGTCACTGATTTTTGGAGTGGGAATAGGCTACTTTTATTCCGTCCCCTTGGCTGCCATCCTGTGTTTCTGCCATCCAAGGAAGTGCCTTCCCCTTTGATGAAGGTGAACATCCAACGCTGCCTTATACCAAATCAAGCCATTGGTCCCTTTAACCCAGTATGTCTGATACTTGTCCTCCACCACGTCCAGTGAAGTCTTACCATGACCTGTTAATTACAACCTTTAATTAGAAATGCTAAGGATTGAACCTGTGAGCTTCTACATGCAAAGTATATGCATTTTTACTGAGCAGGGCCTTTCCCTCACACCACCATCATCCCTATCCCCCCCTTGTTTCTCCTTATCACAAACAGAACACAATAGGCATTATCACAAGACTGGGGGGTGGGGATGGTAGCTTAATTTCACATCTGGGAATCCACCACTATATGTATGAAAGGGAAAACATACATGCTGTTCGCCTGTACATCCAGTGGTGACAAGAGCCCCCAGATGACAGGAATACTTACAAGCAGTTTTTAAACCACTGCCATTAATCTTCAGTAATAGAACAACTGACTAGAAAAGAAGTCCTTTGCTTCATAAAGCTCCAGCCTTGAAATACTAGCTTCCCTTAAGTAGATCTGCTTGCCTACTGAAAAATGCCTAAGCTGGCATTTCATGCAATAGGCATGCAGGGGCAGGGATATTTCACAGGGTTTTTTTCCCTCCAGAAAATGAGCCTTCTTCCCTTCCAGGTCTGAGAAGAAGCAAACGAGGCGCACACTGACCTGTTCTCCCAGGTTGGAAGAGACACTCGAAATGTACATTCAGAACAATTCTGCTCTAGAACAGGCTATGAAGACATGTGCAGGTATCGGGGACAACTCAGACAAGAAAAAAAGGATAGAAAACCCTGAGCGGGCTTGCTTGATTGGCATGGGAGGAGACTGGTTGTGGGGAAAGTCCAATTCTTGTCAAAGACAGGGGTCGTTTCATAGAAAAAGAGCTAGGGGAACTCATTAGCATAACTCATTAGCATATGCCACACCCCCTGACATCACCGGAAGTGTGTCATAAGGCCACACACCCCACCCCCAATGGTCTTGGCTGCCGCCGGCCTTGCAGCTCCACTGCCGAGCCCCATGAGGGGGCCAGCGGTGGACCTGCAAGGCCCCTCCCCCGAAATGACCTCTGGTCAAAGACCTTACTTTTCTCTGTCACGTTGCTTGAAAGATCTAAGCCTCAAGACTTCTTGCTCCTCCCGGGTGAGCATGTGGTGGGCATGGTTGAAGGAGACCAAAGGTATAGGGGGAGAAGCTGAAGGAAGAGAAAGGGCAGGTTGTTTTGGTGGGCAGGGGAAGGCTGCTGCCACTGTCTGCCCTTTCCTCTGCCACCTCAGCACTTTGCAGCTGTGAAGGAAAGAGGTTACCCAGGGAAGGTAGGTGTCAAACGCCACTGTGTTTGGGCTGCTGCCAATGTCTTCTCCTTCCCACCACTTCCCCCTTCCTACCAGCATTGTTTGGGCTGAAAGAGAGAGCCCAGGGGTCCGCAGCCAGCCCCCATGTCCTGGCAGTCCCCTTCCCCTGGCACTGCAAACGGAACGGTTGAGCATTGGCAGTGTCTGGGCAGCTGCCTAGGCTTCCTCTCAACCCAAACAAGGCCGATGCTCAGCACCCACCTCTCCAAGCTTCCCTCCTGGCAGCCAGTGGGAGAATTTCCCCACAAATTTCTCACAGATCCCTCCTTGTATACTCCTAATTTACAAAACGGTTTTCAAGATGCATTTTGTGCATTGTTTTAAAGCATGGCTACATATAAATGTCTGACTTCATATCTCTCACTCTATTTTTTTTTTTAACGTAACAGGGTCTCTCAACCTGATACTCCATAAAGGTAACAACTTGCAAGGAACTACTGGTGAAAGTAAATTGGTGGTGGGGTGGGGGCTTCCGAGCAGCTCTTTCTTCAAATATTTAATCAGGTTATGTTACATATGTGCCTAACACACCCCTCGCTTGAAAGAAGTCAGCTAAAGGCTTGGTTCAGACGTCACAGGAAATTGTGGCTTACTCCACCTAACTATAGTTAGTGTTGGTTGTGGGAACATGGGTCACTCCACTAACAATGATGAATTAGATTTGCCTAGGACTGCTTAGTGAATCAATGGCTGAGGTGTGATTTGAGTGATCTTGGTGCATATACTGCACCAGCTCTCCTCAACATGCCTCACATCCACCCTCTCTATCTAAGTCTTATTGGAGGAGAACATGAGATATTGGCTCAGTTGAGACATAATGGGAAACCATGGTTTATTTTAACTACCACACAGGGGTTTTGTGAGGATAAAATTGAGAAGGGAAGAGTGTTGTAAGCCATTTTGAATCACCATTGAGAAGGATATAAATGAAGTAAATAAGGTAAAAAGCAAAAATAATTAATTTGTGTAAGCAAGATTCAGCTCATAAATAATTTAAATCCTGGTTTGCAGTGTAAAATCCACACATCAGTTTCCCCCTCCTTTTCCTTACCTTAACACACACTCCCCGCTACCACTAAAGAGCTTTTAGGGGTTTTAAAAAACTGGTATTCAATATATCGCCACAGCCCCATAACATTATAATTGGTCTCCCCACTAGTTCCTCTGGATTGCTTTAATTTTTAAAAAGTAAATCTCTAGCCCTTTTTACTGAAGAGACATGCCTTTCAAAAAGGGCCTGATACTATTCACCTTCCTCTCTCCTTCAAACTCTCTCTTTCTGTCCTGCAGTGACTGTATCTCTGGATCCAGATACGGCAAACCCCCGCATCATTCTGTCTGAGAATCGGAAAAGTGTGATGAGGGGAAGGAGAGCGCAAAACCTCCCTAACAACCCTGAGAGATTTGATACTATGCTCTGTGTGCTGGGCTGTGAGAAATTTGCCTCAGGAAGACATTGCTGGAAGGTGGAGGTGGATGTACAAGACCAAGTGGAAAGCTGGGCCGTGGGGGCTGCCCGAGAATCTGTCAAGAGGAAGGGCAAGATTACACTTTGTCCTGAGGAAGGGATCTGGGCTGTGGGGATGTCTCTGAATGCGTCAAGACAAGACATGTTATCACCTGGGCAGCTCTCAGCCTTCAGTTCCCCACTGCAGACTCCTTTGCCCTTGACCAATAAGTCTATGAAGATCTGGGTGTCCCTTGACTATGAAGGGATGTGTGTGGAATTTTTTGATGCTTGTAGAGGTACTTTGTTTTGCACTTTCCCTTCAGCCTCATTCTCTGGGGAGAAGATCTGTCCCTTTTTCCGGGTGGGTGGGAAGGAAGTTATACTGAAATGCTGAATAAAGGGAAGCTTCTAGTCCTGCCTGGGAGAACACAGGATTAGAGATGTGAAGGCTTGGAAAGAAACTGGAAAATTTCAGTGGGGAGGACTGTTTTTGGTTTAGCTTCCCCCAAGGAAGAATTTTCTCTCTTAGAGTGAGTGAAATGCTTTTTAAAGCAAGGTTTCTCCATACTCAAAATGTAGAGTGTAAAAATGCCTGAGGCCTTTTCCTATTTTTCCTTTTTCCCCCCATCCCCCTGGGGGGAGGTTTTTATTGATTTTTTTCAGACTACAAAACTACAACAGAAAATATGGGAAAGGGAACTACATCTAGGGGAAAAAGAAAAAAGACACACAACTAACTAAAAACCCAGGCGTAGGAGATCAATACATCATCTTAACACCATGCTATTTTCAAAAAGCTACTAATAATACGATGAATTTAGTCGGTTATGCTAGATTAATTATCATTTAACCATCCCTTTAACTGTTTAAAGAAATTCCCAGAGCATCCCTTAGTTATTTCAACATTTTTTCAGGCACAAATCAGAGTCCTTCAACCCTTATTTATTCTTATCTTTTCTAATCCTCAGTTTATATGAGCTTTTGGGGGCAGCCGCCCCCTTTTCAGAGGGGGAGTCCTTGTCCAAAGACCCCGAGCCCAACTCGCCATCAGATTTGCTTTCTTTTTCCTCCCCTTTGCCCTCTTCTGGTTCCCCAAACTGTGTCCGCAGAAATTCACGTGCTTTAAAAACAAAGTCAATCTTTTCTTTTTTATCGTTGAGCTTGAAAATGACACCTTTTGGAGTTAACCACCTGTAACTGATGCCATTTGTTTGTAA